CCTGAGACGGACTGTGACTGTGGCTTTAGTGGACAGACCTCATTACCTGTTATAAGCAGAGCTCCCACAGGCCAAAGAGCACTTGTTAGCTTAACGTCACTCAAGGTTTTGTCTAATTTACATTTAGTTTGATGTTTTGAGATGGAACATTATATTTTTTATATTACTTTACTTATTTCCTAGGTTTTGAGTTATGTTACATACCATATTTTAGCACCAGTGGGGTGGCTGTTATACAAGCACTGATTGGGCGCTACCTAACAGCCTATTTGTTAATTGCGTCGGTTTGTCTAAATAAACAGCTGTTCACACTGGTGGAAGGCCTAGTGCCAAAACGTCTGTGTTACACCCATGGTGGGTCACTAATATTGAAGAACATAAGCCACCCAGGTTCACACCATATTACTCTTTATGCTTGTCTCATCTTGGAAACACCTCTGAATGAACTTGACAGAAGACTTACAGAAAGCAGAAGCACTGCATCCCGTTGGTCCCACAGAACTATCTGTCATCACAAAGAATGTCCCATCAAGGATGCTGCGGGCCATCCACGACAAGGCTGCACTTCTTCTGTAGGCTTACCTGAGACCACCGTTTCCGGTGACGGATGAGCTGCTTGTCCTTCAGGTGAGCGGTTAGGATGTTGCCATGTGGAAGTGTGTAGCGGAGACGGCCTCCGTAGGGCGTTGGTATGACCTTCTGTTCTGGAAGCTGAGCCATTTCCTTGAAGATGGATTGATTGTCATCACTGAATATCCTGGTGCATATAAATATATGAGAAGTGAACATCCTGTGACTTCTTTCACACAGGCAGGGCTAAACTTGCAAGTGTCATCTACAGCTCCTGATGATTCGGGTATCTGATGGTGCGTCTGCCGCCTTCAGGGCGAAAAGCGAGCGCTTACACGTAGACCTCGTTGATGACCTCCGCCAGGGTCTCCACGTATTCGTTCACATGGCGCTCCCCACTGCCTTCCATGGTGTAAAAGGAGTCATCGAAGAAAATGTGGAAGTCGAAACTGACGTCGTTAAAATGGTTTCTCCTTGGCCGAAATTTATCCATCCTTCAAAAGAACATGGCACGTTCATTCTACCAACTGCATCTTAAAAGAATATTTAAGATTATCAATAACAGCATGAAAGCTTTGGTTTCCTATGATAAAAATCTAATTTATTTATATAAATATACAATGCCCACAGAAAGCCTTGGACGCTTGCTTAATTCTGTAAAATTGTTGCAGATTTTTTGGTTTCATAACAAAATTCCATCAACAAGCAATGTTTATCTGCACAAATCTTCCGCACAGACATTTTCTTTTTATCAAGTGTTATAATTTTTTTTGGTGACTTATTAAGTTCTGTTCTTGCAATTTTGCTGTTAATTGTGGTCAATGGCTCCCAAAGGGATATTAAACAGAAATGCTTTGTGTTTTGTGTTATTGCAAAGGTGTTACTAATTAAAAAGCATCCATTGAGATGGCTTGTCAATGAACTTTTAAATTCAGAACAGCTTGTTTAGAACTATAATTTGGGTTTCAATTTGTTACTACTTGAAATTAATATTTTACTTAAAACTACTGGTTGTTTCTAATGTGATATATATTTTTGTAAACAAAGAATGTAATCCAGTATATTTGCAGTATTTTTACTTAATTAAACAAGCATCCCAAGACTTTCTGTGAGCACTCTATTTGTAAAATCAAGCAGGAGAAAGCATGCTCACACCGGTCATTTACACAACAGGTCTACAGGTTTGCTTACCTGAACATGGAGATGATAATCTTCATCATTTCGTCATAGGTCTCATGCCACATCGTTGCACACAAGTTGATCATCACTGTTTCCTTTCTGTCGCTGGAGGAGAATAGATTGATTGGCTGCTGGTCCAATTGACAGTAGAAAAGACTAAAGCTACTTGATGAAAGTTACCTGGAAGCCTTTTTGGAAAGCTGGATCTTAAAACGTGTGTTGAGCAGCATTCCCTGGTCGATGAAGGCTGCCTCGTACCCTTGCCGCACAAACAGGTCCCGGGATCTTTCAATTCGGTAGACCTTGATGAAATAAGTGTACATGGTGCACAGTACAAGTCCAATCCACCAGCAGAAGAGGGAGCCCCCTACTATGACCAAACTCATTTGGTTCTGCTTCTGAAAGATATTGCGGGCACAGATTGTCCAATCCGCATCCTCAAGCAGCTGGAAAAATGTGACGTTTTGATCGTTTTCCAGCTGGTAACAGAAGCTGTTACTTGAGTTTGCACCGCAGTGAACTACAAAGATTATTGGGAACGTAATCAGGACAATGGGTGAAATGAACCACATGGGTACAACAAAGCTGCGCCGAACCTCATGCATTTTACAGGCTGCTACCGCAAGACCGTGGCAGAGGGCTGTGGAAATAACCTGGATGGCAAACAAGCTCAGTATGATGGGCTTGCTTTGCTCCAAAGGAGACAGGACACTTGACCAATCCTGTGCCGACAGCTTCACATAAGCTCCAAGGACAGCAGCTGTGATGGCAATTCGAACAACACTGGAAATGATGCAGATCATATTCCGGGATCTCCTGATGTCCTCTGCGATCCTTTCCAAGACGCCACTCTTAAACAGCATGCTGTAGTTCTCCCACCAGTTCAAGGAAATGCAGAAAGTTCCAACTATAGCCAGTCCGATCGAGAGTCCCATTTGGTTAGTTTGTAACTGGTATCCAATGATAAACAGCACATAGCCACATATCATAAAGACGACAGCCAGGAGAGATGTTACAGTGAATCTCGTCCTCTCCTTGGTGATGATGTTGCCAACCATTTGAAGCACTGCGGACAAGATGCCCACGGTGTTCAGTATGGCCACATTGGTGAGGACATCAAAGTCAGGCATGGCAATTAAGATGAGTAATGCTGTTCCGAAGGCCACCAAGAACTCTGTGAAGATCACCTGGAAAATGCACCCAATCAAAAAGAGCATCATCTGTGAGTTTCTTCTGCAGGTGTCTCCAAAAACATTTAGGCCTAATTATCCTGAAATCCCAAACCTACCAAAATAATCTGTAAGCATGCAAAAATATCCTAGCCATTTAATTTGAGTTTATACTCACCCACAAAAGGGTTAGCCTCTTGGGTGTCTTTGAGTCTTTAAATGTGATTTTCCACAGTGCTTTAATGAGGGTAAAAACACTTGGAGCAATGAGCGAACAGCCAAGAAAGAGCAGGGCATAGGGCTTGCTGGGGACGGCTCTTGAGTTTCTGTTTGAGGCTGTTATTAGCAGCAGAAGGGATGACTGTAAATACAGGACAAGAAGCATATTAGCAGTCACAGTGAAATATGATTTTTACATTTCCCTTAACCTCCACCATGCAGTGCCTACTAATAAATTGCAGATTTTATTTGTATTTTGACAGGATACAAAATTTACATAACTGGACCAGAAACACTCTGTACTGTCAGAAAAAAATGACTGGTTTGTACCTTTTAGGGTAGGTAGAATTACTTATCACTGGGGCTATACCCTCAAGGGTCTGCCAATTGTACCCTGGCTGTAGGTTAAATGTACTTTTTAAGCTACAGAAATAGACTCTGAGGAACATTTTTGTATCGTTGGGAGTACATTAATGTTATTTGTACCTTGGAGTACAATGCTGTACCAAGGTTGTACCCTATTTTCTGACAGTTTGGTTAAAACGTCAGTGTCTAACAGGCAATTTATATAACTAGTTACAAAAACTATACCTATGTTATACCTTGCTTAGAAATCCCAGCGCAAAAACCATG